TAATTTGCAATCAAAAGTACTCGAATCAAATTTCAAAATACGAAGTAGCCTGTTCTTTCTCCCATCAAGTAACCTGTTTACATGTCGTGTTCCAATATAGAGGGCAAGATATAGCTGTGACATCGCATGATTTTTAAGAAATTCGTTTGAAATTTTTCGTAATGGAGTCTAGTGGCTCCATGGTTAGCAGGTTTCCCCTTGAGGAAACTGACTTGCCTTCATCATCATTTAATACTCTTCTCTGGTAACCTGCCAGGGTGACCATTCCATAGTAATTTCTTAAAAAAAAGCGTCCATGAGTTTTGATGGCTGCTCGTATATTTTAAGCAGGTCGGATATTTGATTGATGCTTTTGTTGTATAAAAAAACAATGAATGCATTAAGTTCTGTCTCTGCAGAAATGATAAAGTGCATCGCATCGTACAAATAATCAGCAATATGAAACGTGATAACATATGACGTGCTACTGTTGTCAAACTATTGAAACCCATACTCTAGTTTTGTTTAATCCTCATTATATCTTGTTACATAGTTACATACTTGGCATATATCGCACTGACGGTCAATATCATTATTAATATTGTGTATGTGAAAGTGAGATTGTTTATTACCACTTATCATTTTCACGGCTTGACCAATTGTCACGAAATTTGGCATGTAGTATTTGGGACGGAGAAGGACATAGGCCACTTTTTATTTCGGTCAATCAATACATCCCGATCACGTGGATGTAGTTACGTCAAAACTAGTTTTTAATAGTTAAGAAACTTTAATACACAGAAAGAGGTAGAAATAAACATTGCTGTGTGTCTGGTTGGTTTCCACATTGTTGTTTTTGTGAGTGAAACATTTGCGTGCTTTTGCGAATTCGAATTCTTTCGGTGGAAAGGTTAATTTCTCAAACTGATATATGTTAGAATTCCTGCATGCAGAGTTTGTTTTTTAAATAGTATTCGGTGTGAAATCATTAGCATTCTTTATGCATTTTTGAACGTGTCATGTGAGAATTTTATTGTCGTATTTCGACTCATGTTCGTTATTGAAAAATCTTCAATTTGAATGGTAAAATACGTTTAAAAGCATGTTAATGGCTTCGATTTCACCTTATATGTACCATAATATATTTATGTCATGGTAACGACCCAGTGGCTTATGCTCACACGCTGCTCTTATCAAATTATCTATTATCTTTATGCACGCCAAGTCCCAACTCCAAAAATTTATATTAATAAAAAAGCCAGGTAGATCCTTTTTGAAACAGATTTGTTCCATTGTGACGATTCTGCCGAAACGATAGCACGACATTTTATATTCCAATTCTATTTAATTCACGTTTCCAAGCCAAGGGTCAATGGAGTGAGAATTGAAGCCAATTAGCATGTTTTGTGGTCCAGTAGTGTATTGAATACGTGGAACAATGATTTTGAATGACTGTTTGTAGTAGAAAGAAAGGTATTCCTGATGAAAAAGAGTATGGGTACCGTGTTCAGGTTTGCCAACCTGGTTTCGACGATATATTCGAAATTTGAATATTCCCAGTCATAGAAGAATGGCAATTGCTTGGATTATGCAACCTCTATTTTTATGAAAACTAAGCATGCCATTACCGAAGTATTTGTTGTGTAACAAAAGCAATTTATTGATAGTAAAAGATCCCTACTGTAATTTCATCACGTCTGACCTTTTTTGTGAAACAAAATTTCAAATGTTTACTTATAATTTAAATTTATAACATAAATTCAAAACTTTTAGTAGGTTTACTTTTTTTTTTTTATTTCGATTTAGTTGGTTCCAGCTATTTAGCTCGCGTATATTAAGAGAAAAACTATCTTGCATTTTAATTTAGAATACGTATAACCATACGTACAGAGATAAACCTTTCTTTGTACTAAATTTCATTTAAACTCGTTGAGTCTGTTAAGTATGATTGGGCAAGAAACAACTTTACAAACCTATAAAATATATTCTTACATCTTATTAATATAATCAATGTGTAAGTTTGTCACGATGGATGGATGGATGTTACTGTTTCATGCAAAAACTACCGAATAAATTTGAATGAAATTTGGAACACTGGTAGTTTATATACTAAATTAGCACATAGGATATTAATGAGATTTTAATATTATGAGGATAGAATTTTAGGGTGTTGTTAAAATTTCTATAAGTACCTACATATTTAATATAAGTACATATACCATAAAGCATCGTTATCATCTTTATACTCTTATCCCAATTATTATTTATGGTCGGCGTAATTTGTTTTTCTTTTTTATTCTCCTCTATTCGCAGTCATTTCCGCTTTCACTACCAATCTATAATTTTTTACACAGTCCATCCATGTCTTTTTAGGTTTTTCTCTGCCCCTATATCCACCCACATTTATATCTAATACCTTTCTTAAAACACTTTTTTACCATAAAAGATCTTATCTTTATTGTCAAATTTATATCCATGTTGTCGAGAACAGTAATTAACCACGAGACCATTAGTGATAACAAAATGGTGGAGAACAACAGCTCATAGTTATTTTATTTAATCGGCTTTACACTTTAATGCTATGAGGTAACGTATATTTTTACAATTTATGTTTACAATAATTTGAATGTGTAATTTCATATAAATCCACTGCTACTGTTTTGGCGTCATTTAATCTTCGCGACCGATTTCTGTGAGTCATTATTACTTAATTTTGTTTTGCATGTGTAAATTGTTACTATTCAGTTTTAAGAATGCAATGGTCATAATTTAAATTCTGTTAACAAATTTGAGCTTTGCAAAGCCCACGAAATAAATTTATTACTTACTACAAAAAAAGGTAATGTGGATTCGATGTTATGTACTCCAAAAATATAGCAGTTTGGGTTTACATTAACATAATTTGAATTAAAAAAAAAATGTGCCGAAAAGAATAGCTCGAATATAAACGTTCTAGCGTCACAATTTGCAACGATCGTATTCACTACTAAAGTGGTCACGTGCGGAACAGACCTTTAACCAATTGTTTTTGTGTCATTTCCGTGATTCAACGGGGAATCAAATCTGAGTCCTGTCAGCGAATCATGGCCGCGAGCGCAGCGTCTCGTTTGTCATGCATGACGGTACAATTGCGGCGGATGGTAACCAATCTAAAGAATGCGACATAAGTAATGAACGCCAAGCGTAAAAGCATCGCAAATGTTTAAGAGTAGGTATGGGCAATATCGTATATGTTATATTTTTTTTTTTAATTTATTATCAGAGCATTTTCTAACCAATCAATCAGAAGTATTGAAAATTTTTTAATTAGTATTCAAAATCAAAATGGACGTTGACGCAATTCGGTAAGATTCGATATGAATTCTCTTAAAAACCGTAGGCGGATAAAATGATTTATCATATTTAATCCGTAATTTGCGTTAACTATTTTACTAATTATATATCTACTAATTACTATTACTTATAACTGCTAACATTCAAGTAGTATTATATATAATATATCCAGATTACCATATGGAATGACCAGTGTCAAAAAATATCCTAAAAATTTCCCATTTTTCGGTGTTGTTAAGGTATTAATTAGGGATGCATAATATATAGTAATATCTATATATTTAAGTTACAATATTGGTCCAGTAATATGATATGTTAAATATCGCTAATTTAATATATTATAATATCGAAATGAAGAACCCGATCCCGAAATTAATATTACGAGTACATATCCGAGCGATATTGGCGATATCGAAATAGGTGGTGATTTTTTTTTCATCATCAATGACAAGAGGAAGCCAATATATAGATATCAGAGTGGTACCGATATCACCCATGCTTAGTAGTAATAATAATAATAAATAGTATTCATAATATGCCTATACACACACTAACGTGTGCCTTATAACACAAATACGTAAAAAATTAAAAGTTTGGCTGTTTCTAGCGAAGCATTTGTAGAGAAACGCTATCTAGATATTACTCGTATTAATCCAAACCAGCATACAAAAAGTGTCATTATTTTTATCATAGCTGGTGCTCACTAGACAATCATTACACAAGCATGTTTTGTTTATTCAGAATATGGTTTCTGTACACCAAATATCTGTTCAGTAAGTTAACATTTACACAGTATGTGTATTTCTTTATATTTTTATTATTATTATTTAAGCCGTTAACTGTCAACTGCTGGACATAAGCCTTTCCCAATAAGGGGAGTTTTGCCAGTAGTTGCCACGCTTGGCAGGCGGGTTGATAACCGCAGTTAGCCATTTCTCGCATCATCATCATCATCTTTATATTATTACCCCCTTATTCATAAAAATTAAAACCTTCTACAAACCTATTTTAATTATTACACTGCTTTGTCACTTTCCTTCAAATTGGAAATTTTACTAAACGAAAGAGACAAAATAGTACAATAGTTAAAATATATTTATAAGAAGGTTGACGTAAAAATGTCAATCGATAGTCGAAATATATTATTAGTATTTTTTTTAATGGATATAATGGAAGTGCAAGTCCGCTCGCACTAACGGTATATCTGTCATCTCTCACTGGTGGGGCACCAGATGAGAGATGAGAATGAAAAGGCAGGTCGGTTAGCCCATCGTGATAAATACACCTGGGATTGAGCACGATGATTTCTAGAGGGAACTACGTGAAGGTCGACCTGACACAGTATAGTTTGGTATATGCTTATAATATTAACACTGTATATTCCATTTTTACAACGTCCGCTAAACGGCCTGGATGGTTTTATTATTAATTTCCCTTTTCTTATGGGATGGTACCCACGTCCATTAAATGTTTCGTAGGTTAAAATAACTGATGAATTGTTCCGCGAATCTTGTATGGCAACAAAATCATTACTTGATAATCCCCCCCGTATACCGTGCTAATTCACACCGCTAGCGCTGTCGCCTGTGATTTGTCAGTATCATTATGTTGTAGGTACGTTACGGACGGAAGCGTTGCGTGCTCCCGCGCAAGCAGATTACTGTCGCCACCGGCTCAGTGGTACGGGAAAGCTAAATAATATTACTGGTTATTAAAAAAAGTTGTTTTTTTTTTCTGTGATAAAAGTATTACTCTAATAAGTGATTGTGATAGTGGCTAATGAGATTTTAAACGGTGTGTTAGTGAGGTGGTTAATGATTGAAGTGCATTAATATGGTAGGTGTCTATTTTGATAATATAAAAAAAATGTGTAGTTGTGTAGCCTTTCCCCGCTCTTTTTGTTGTGTGTAAGAGAAAAGAGAGCAAAACAGGGTCTAACCACGATAATAAATTTAAGATCTCGTTCCGTTTACGGAACTTTTATGCTAGTGATATCAATCACCAATAAATTAATACGAATATCCTGATTGCAAAAACAGTAACTAAAATTGGTTTAGAACAGCTAAAGATATAGTTAACCGTACCTACAAACAAAAAATAAAACGGGCGAATAGAAATTATTGAGTGATTGCGATATTTCTCTAAAATACTGAATAGGGATGTTTTTCGATCATAGGTAGGGTTTTTTTTTTTGGGTGATAATGAAATAGTAACCCCACCCGCGCTATTGGTATACACCAGTGGGGCACCAGTGAAGGATGATAGATGAGGATGAAGCAGGTCAGTTAGCCCATTGAGACGAATTCAACAAGAATTGTTCACAATGATTTCCAGGGGGAACCACGTGGAGGTCGACCTGATATGGCATATTGCTAGCAATGGGGCTGTCAAACTCCGTTACTAACAATCCCTTTCCTCCCCATAGGTAGGTTATTAGTATTGGTTACTGTAATCTATGTATTATCTAGGTATTATTATTGGTAGTAGTATATCTTTAGTAATTTACTGTTGATATATCAACAGGGTAAGAGTATATTGGTCAAATTGATTTTCGCATGATTTTTATGTTCAGTTCAGTACATGTTCTTTATTCTTTATTGTACACAAAAGGTTATTGAAATGGAAAAACAAACATAATAGTGCAAAAAAGCGAGCTTATCTCCAAAAGAGATTTCTTCCAGCACACCCAATATGAGAAAACTGACAGTTTATTAGTAGTTACAGTCATAAATGTGTACCAATCGACTTAAATGTTCATTCATTGTGGTTAATTTCTAGCAAAGTTATTACTATGGGTCAAATGATCCTACTGCATTCTCACTTATTTTCCCTCACTAGTACTCTGTCAACGTATACCTATAGCGCAGATAGGATTGCCACTATGTTTACAAAATTACCAAAAGAAATTCAATTAAAGTAGCTCTTTTGTATATATTATTCAGGATTAAGTACGGTTATTATAATAATATGACTTTATCCATTTTGGATTTACCATTAGCGAAAAATACATTCGAATTAATTGGGAATATCCTTCTTTTTAATAAAGTAATATTCGATTCTTGAATCGGTTCGAACACATCACTAACAATATCGATTACATTACGTTCATTATTTTAATCATCAAATAAAAGTCATTGACATAAAATCGGGTGCCGTGGGAAAGTATTACTTATGATTCGGCTGCTACCCGATGTAGTAGCTACTCACGCTATCAAAACACTACGAGTTATCGATTTATGTACGATATAAGAATATTTGTCATCGAATCGTAGGGTTTGCTGTGTTTATTATATTGTTTAATTATATATTTACTAAGGTATTGTATTGTAATTGTCTATGAATTGCTTTAATAATGGTTTTTAGCAACCCTAGCTTAAACATTTGAATGCATACCTAGTTTCATATCTTGTTAATATAGGTAGGACACTTTTATCCCAAATTCCACGGGCAAATATGTAAAAGCTACGATTAGATAGAATTTTGAAGGGTCGTCAATTAACGCCTTTAATTAGTGAAGTTAATTATAAATTTGTCTTCATCACGTTGGTTTTAAGGCAATGTCATACATACATAGTAGGTTTACTAGTTTTGTTTACGCCTGTGCGTAAACATGCTTTGCGATACGATGTCTAATAATTGCTTAAATAAGATAAGATTGTTTTTTATCTTTTGATCAAGAGATAAAAATTAAAGTTTTTTTTTTTAATGGAATGATAATCCCGCCTGCGGCATTAGTATACACTGGCGGGGAACTAATAAAGGATAATAGGTAAGGATGAAGCAGGTCAGTTAGCCATAACAAATTCAACAATAAATCAATCACGATAGTTTCCAAGGGGACCCGCGAGGAGGTCGACCTGATAGGGATTTTTTTTGCTAGCGATAGGTTTGTTTATCTCGATTACTAACAATCCCTTTTTCCCCCAAATGAAACAGTTGTATCTATCTCAAGTAGTTCTCTGCTAAAAAGACGTCACTAATGTTCATCCTATTTAAATCTGCTAAAATTATAAATTTGGGAATTTGTAAAGATATTTGAATGTTTACCTAAGGGAGACTTTGTACAAAAGTTGGCAGCAGGCCTATCTCTATCCTACTCGTGTTTCTGCCGCAAAGCAGCTATGCTTACTTATATTTGCAAGTGGTATGTTGTGATATTACTGGTTACGTTCGTGGTTACAATGTTTCTAGCGAATCAATTTAATTTAATTTCATTACGAAGGCATTATAGTCCTCAGGGACGACAACGCATGAGGAGTATTCGTACATATTATGAACTTTACATGGAGTGCCAGCTTGTATGCCGTTCTAAGTATTAAAAATTGTTCCATCACGCTTAAGCGACTGTTTGTTTGTACATATTTGAATAAAATTTTAAGCGAATTTTATGCAGCTTAAATGGCCAACAAGCTGACGGCCCACTTTATGGAATAGTGCTTACTGTTACTATAGACTGTGCCTATAGACATGAGCTGTACCATGGACATACTATTTCGCCCATGATAGCTCCCATGCGTTGCCATTCCTGAGGACTCGGGTGTTATTCCTCTGTACCCTGTAAATTTACTGCCATATCACACCCTTCAAACCGAAACACAGCCATGCAAACACAACTGCTTCACGGTAGAACCACGAACGGGCCAGAGGTGCCCAAGCAAACGACTTTTCTACAAACTCTCCCTCTGGTGACTTTTCTTTTGACTTTTCATTTGATGCATCCTTATTTAGTTTCTCTATTCTAAATACTATGTGTATATGAACATCAATATCCATGATGATTGGTTACGCTGTAAAGGCGTCGACAGGCAGCAAATAGTCACTTTCACATAATGTTAGTGTGGATTTGAGCAAATATTCAGTTGTTGTGTTTGAAAATATAATTAACTTACAGCTGTGATCTCTGCAAATACAATAAGCCCATTCTACATTATTGGTTTAAGTAGACAGGTTTTCATATCAAATACAAGCACATACCACGTGTTTCATGGATTAAATACTTAAACTAAGGTTTTATCTACTGATATTGACAATGGCCGATAAAAAGCTATTGATATTTTTACATTGGTATCTTTTGCATCGATTTCGCCAAAAATAAGTTGATTGATAATTAAAATTAATAAATTTTATAAGCACAATCAGTCGAGGTATTCCAAAATTGAAAGGGATATGGAGGAATTAAAAATGCAGTGAAGATTTTTATTGAATTCATATTGCGTATAATTAATTATGTAAACTAAATAAATTGTACGGTTGATTCTAAACAATCTATGCTTTTACAATATACCGCAGAATGTCATGATATCATCCGATAATATAAGAAAGCAAAATGTATGCAATTACATGGAGACGTTTTTAATTCTTCGCGAAGGTATCGTGATAGTGCCTTGGAGAAGGATTTTACTATCTATAGCAAGATCCCTGCCAAGGTAAATTTTATAACCGCTCTATTTTCGGCGTTAAATCACAGAATAAACTCCTTGGACATTAAAAAGCAGTGTTTGTAAGTAACTATTTGCCTAAAGTCGGAAATAAAACAAAATATAAACAGACGTTTATATTTTCAATACCAAATGTGCAAAAAAAGGTTGGTTACTACATACAAATATTAATTTGTATAGTTTGTTGTAAAGTGTCGAAAAATAAAGGGACACAACAATCAAATTGTAAAACGAATTTACAATTTATTCCATTACGTAGGTCTTTTACAGTACAGAACATGTTCGCCAGTCTTGATTTTATCAATTGAAATAATATTTACAACTACCAACCAACTAAGAATTGTAGCCAAATGTATTTTAATACAAGGTGTTTATTTTAATTTAGACGTCGAAGATTTTCCTCTTGATTTCATTCTTAGAACATTTATTGTAGGTAGATGGTCTGTTCATATTACTTGTGGGAGTTGGAGCATACTATATAGGTTTATTTCACTGGTGTTTTTGTGTAAATGTATTTGGTGATAGTCTTGTGTAAGAATAGAAGAACATGTAGTCCTAACTTTGTTAACTTTGCTCATCATAGATTTGGCTTACCGTTAGTGATGTAGTTGTAGTTGTGTTAAATTATGTTCATAAGGTAGACCTTAATTTAGTAGTTTCCATATCGTTAATTTTCAAATTCTTTTAAATCGATAGGTTGTGGGATAGAAACTGAGTTTAATAAAAACTTTTTCTTCATTTCGGTATAAATGTGTCGTAGTGGGTTATATTTGAGATTGAATCTCAAATGGTGGTTTATTGTGTTACGTGGACTAGTTTCCGTTATGTATATTGACGATTTGTGTGATTTAATTTCTTAGAATATTATTCTGAATAATTAGATTGTTAAATTATTAAAAATATTTATGAATCCGTTTATTAGTGTTAATTATTTTTTAATTAATATACGACTGTTAATATTTTCCTTTTTTGTTGCAGGTTCTGTGTGCGTATCGTTAGATAAACGACTATAGTACTGTGATACGACTTCTGGAGCTATCCAACGCCGTGGAATGGTTCCTGTGGGTTGGCGGTGTCTTGTTCATGTACGTACTTAAATACATTTATCTATTACATTCATTTCCGTGTCGTGACAAACACAATGTGTCACGTCATCACTCCAATTCATTTCTAGGGCGTCATAATAAAGAGTTATGAGGATAAGCATGATAATATAAGAGAAGGAAAACTCGATGTAAAACAGACATTGAAAAATAGTAGTACGAATAATAGGCCAATAGCTTTCACTTAGGGGAAAGAGATCAATACTCAGATGTGCGACGTTAATTGTCTGTTATGGTATTTATCTGTTTAATTTAATTTTTTAAAGGGTTTCCTCTTGTCATAGTCACTAATTCATATATCCTTCTTCAACCAGCTGCATCCCAGGCGGTGTTCTTGACCTCCCTGTACGACATCACCTAGCCTTGTCTTTGTTTGTCCCATATAGTTATTTCTTGGTTTTTTTCTTCCTCTTTTCATAAAGAACATCTAAGAAGGTAAACGAATAGGATAGGCCTTTCTTCTATGATGTTTTTCATGTTATACACGGCGACCTTTACCTACTTTTTTTTATATAGTACATTATCGTAATTAAATTAAAGTTAAATTTTAATTACTAGAAAGAGAAGGTCTTATAATCTATCTCTATTTACGAGTACTACATACTCGTACATTGTTTTTTTAAATGGGAATACCTGTTTATCTCGTAAGTACTTGGCTGCGTGTAGTCCCAGCGTCATTAATTTTAATAGGATTTGCAACGTGCAAGATGCATGTTTAGTTGTCACAATAATTATTGTGAATGACACGCAATTATTTGTGATGCCAAAATACGGGTAGTATACAACTAGTCTCGAATCAGTTTCAAGTGACATGTAAATTGATGCTATGTATGGTTATTTATGTACTCGATTGTGTGTGGTCGCTGCCAAGCCATAAAAGTAAGAGGATATGTATTATCCATTCATGTTTATAAAGAATATTATACTCTGTGATTATTCACTTAGTCATCTATATACAACCTATATGTTAACGACATCATCATCTTCCTACCCTTATCCCTATTATTATTTGGGGTCTGTGTAATATGGTTTTACCCATATTTTAAAAAGATTTGGCTTTTAGTTTTACGACCGGCCGCCTGCTTGACGTCAACCCTCTTTGGGAATGTTAACGACAAATTATTTTAAATAATTTTCATTAAAATGCTTATTATTCTGAAACGCGTTCATAGGCTTCGGTAACCGCTTACCATCAGGTGGGTCGTATCCTTGTTTGCCCCCTCAGTGGTATAAAAAAACATGAAAATGATGTAAATGTGTAAATTCTATTTGTTTGTATTTTTTTTAATTATAGTTTATTTTTCAATTTAAATTAAATAAATATTATAAAACTAGTAATTAATTCATAAAAAATGTTACGTTAAATGTCAAAATATTTGTAGAAGAATTTTGTTACTTGTCTAACTTGCCTTAAAGCGAGTCTCAGTTGCATTGACATTTATGTATAAAAAGTACAAATAAATCGCTGATAAACAAATTATAACATTTCTATTTCATAACAAATATATTAAACTAACTTGTTTTCTGATTTAAAAATATAATCGTGACTCTACTATAGATTAATTTTTACGTAACATGAATAATGTTATTGAAAATCCATTACCTAAAAAATGGTAAATTCAAAAATTTACGGTGAATGTTTATTTATTACAATGTATACCACATTTAATATCAGTTAATGCATATACTATTTCAATGCATTTACGAATGTGTAGAGCTCCAGTCAACTTGAATATTTAAAAACGTCACGTACACGGAAACCTAATATAGTTATGTACTTTCGTGGCTAGGTGTATACACTACGTATTGGTACGACTTTATTTCAAAAAGTATAGAGTTGATATTGAAAGGAATTTTCAGAAACTATATCCAGTTGCAAGCAGTAGTGCTGCTATCGTTGTAGGCACAACACAGCCCGGAACTTGATGGAAGTGTAATTTATGACTAGACTAGTTTTAAAGTCTTTATAGGGCATTTTGTAGCAGTCTTGAAAATATAGTAGTTGCTCTAATATACTTTATATATTCTATGTGTATTAAGTTTATAGATTTAGTGAATTCGTTGTGAAATTTAATAAATATGATGTAGCCTGTATTGAATCTTCCGGAATAATTAAAGATAAGCAGATAAGTTAAACATCGATGGGTATTCTGCTGATTTTTTCTTAATTGGCGATAACGGAATGGTAAATGGTAAACACTTAAAGCTAAGATTGACTGGGAGATAATGTTTATAGCTTTTAAGTCCGCCTTGTACACCTTGTATACCTGTACTAAAAAATAAATAAAATAATGCCTCGTTTGCGCAATTGTATTTCGCTAATAGGAGCACTAGTGAGTGAGATAGGTTAGGAAGAAAGCAGGTTAGTTTGCCTATTCTGACGTCTCCACGTACCACGAAGTTCGACCTGATTGGAGGGTATATTGCTAGTAATGGAGTTGTTGGATTCCATTTGGTACTAATAATCCCATTCCCCCCTTATTCTGTTGATTGGACAAGACAAACGGTTTGGATATTTTTAAGCGAAATTCAAATAAAACAAATAAAACATCTGTATTTTGGTTGTAATTCGATTACACAGTCCACTTTTGAACTCATTTTGATAATACTCTTTTTAAATCTACAAAGTTTATTTTCGTCCTGTTTTGGTTCTATAATAATTTTCGAACAGCGGATGCTGCCTTTTGTATGGAGTAAAATCTGTTTGTTGGAAAGCAAAATCTTCGGATATTTTAAATTTCTCAATCAAAAAATTTGAAATTTTAATATTTTTAACGGAATTTGTTAACGAAACATCTCGCCGTTCATAGTATCTCATCGTATCAGATGTCATCGATGAGTTCTGAAATGGAATTGGAACAAAATATGAAGTGTCTCTTTCGCAAGACATTTTCGATCACATACTATTTAATACACACGTATCAAGATAATGTAAGGAATGTGACATGTTTAAGTACATTCAACATTACTGTATGAACAATGTTAAAGCTATGTGGTGTTCAGGACTCAGTAAACCGATTAGTATTCAGTGTTGACCAGTGCACAGCAGTAGCGCATGTTCTGATTGTGACTTACATGATGTTTGCTTGTTCAATGCTCTATTAATAGAATACATAGTTTAGATAACGTTATTCTTGTCACTGTTAAGTAACAGTTCTCATTATCTTCTCGTATTTTTTATGTTTTTCTTGTTTTATTGTCGATGCAAGAAAATATTAGTGTTGCTTCTAAAGTGTAATTTTTTAATACTATCTACAGAATCAAAGTTTTAATGTCATAGTTAACGTAAGATATTATAGTAATTTAAGGATAATTAAGAACTAAGTTCAACTGTAATATCGCATTGAAATATTAATTTTATAGATATAGAATGACATATCAAAACCATCCCCATTTTTTATAACACTTATTCGATTATTAACAGACTTTACGATATCAGATAATACTACGACCGCATAGAATGTTTGATGGCGTCGCATCTCTTTTATCGTTTGTTGGTTAACAAAGTGCTCAGTTTGGGTAAGCTGCTAAATCTGGAATGTCGCATGCGACTACCCTTCCTTTTTGAATGGCTATGGAAAGCTTATTCATAGTCGAAAGACTCGTACAATACCGTGAATGTGGCTTTATTTGACTATCTGATACTTTGAATCCTTTTACTGCTTTGTTTCTGCCATTTTAATCCATTTGTTTATGCCTGTATAATAGTGTTGTAAAATTGTATTGTATCCGTGCTTTTGTCGAGTCTTATTTGCCCTTTTATTACAGATTAATTTTTGCCTTATTTTATATTACCTAGTGTAATTAACAGTGTATTTAGTTGTCAGACTTTGCATAACATATGTCTTGTTACAAGGCGAACTAAGGTCTACTATTGTTGTTGTTTATTCATTAGATGACTGTGTCTACCGAGGCCAGAGAAGGTCAGATTTCTAAATGTCAGCTGTCGTGACGCCAGTATCGACATATTTAATTAAACCCGAAAGTAGTTTGTTGCACAAAAAGTAAAGACATTTTCGAATTACTTCAGTATCTAAAAAATGTGGTTTGTTATCAAGAGATGAACAGGATCCCCACGAAGGTGTCATCGGATCGCCTCGGATATCGGAGTGCCTTAATTTCTTTCCACTTTTTCCCCTATCTATTTCTAACGTCAAGAACATTTTATATAACCCCGTTTATTCAGCCTTTAAAGGTAACGCTGTTATACTAATTGGTGATTGATTACGTATATTTGCACAAGCTTTCCCGTACTTTGATCTTTATTGATTTCCATTTACATTTCCACCTACGTTTATCTGATAAATTTAATTATTCGCTTCTATTATTATTATAGTTATATGATAACGTTCGTATGTTATTTTATGTCGTATGTTACATAATAATATTAGTTCTGTTTCTGTGTAAACGTCTGCGGTCCTTCCCGGATATCGGCGTTATTGTCCTAAAAGCACGTAGGAATTAATATTCGGGTCTCGTTTGTAACTAACTGTTGTTTTGAATAACACCTGCGGGCTCCATTGGACTTTGAATGGTTAGCCACAATTACGAATACTGAGCGAATTTCACTATCTAATATCGTTCTATGAACATAAATTCCATCTTTACTGTTATGGCGTTTTTTGAAAATTATATAGTTTTTTTTTGAAATTTTTTTAATAATGCAGTGATAAAGCATGTTGCATGTGTAAATGAGCTTTTCCCTGCTATTTTTCTATCGGTCCAATGAAAGATTGAACGTAATCAATCAACTAACCAAAATCATTAGCTCTAATAAAATTTGCCTTCATTAATTTTAAAATTTCGCGTTGTTAAAATATGTGTTTATTTTAAATGCAATATCGGAATTTAAGGCGACGAAAAATAATAATAAATAATAAATAGTACATCCATTCCGCTTATTTGTTGCAATAAAGAAACAGATACTATTTACCAGCAAAAAAAAAAAAATCATCGCTTGAAGTCCGGATAATGTATTTAAA